TGCCCCTGTCAATTAGCTCTGGGGCAGCTACTGTGTGTTGAGGCAGCTCGAGCTTAAGCTCCAGATCAGTTCGGTTAGGACTCGGATGCAAAGGAGGACTCGATCCACGAGGCTATAGAGCACAATCGCGGCATGGCACATCGCAATTCAGCACGGCGCAGCACAGCACAGATTTCGGCACGGTACATCAAGATCGATCCACTCAGCGTTGCAACTTGGCACGTTCCTTGGCACGTTCCGTGGGGCGTCCCTTGACGAGCCCCCGTGGCACGTCGCGTGGCGCGTCCCCTGGCACATCCCGTGGCACATCCATTGGCACGTTCCGTAGCGCGTCCCCTTGGCACGTCCCGCGGTGCGTCCCCGTGACACGTCCCATGGCACGTCGCCTGGCGCACCCCTCGGCACGTTTCGCGGCGCGTCCTCCTGGCATGTTCCCCTGTCCACCAGCTCTGGGGCAGCTACTATGTGTTCAGGCAGCTCGAGCTTAAGATCCAGATCAGTTCGCTCAGGACTCGGATGCAAAGGAGGACTCGATCCACGACGCTATAGAGCACACTCGCGCCATGGCACATCGCAATTCAGCACGGTGCAGCACAGCACAGCACAGTCCCCCTGGCACGTCGCGTGGCGCGTCCCCTGGCACGTCCCGCGGCATGTCCATGGCACGTTCCGTAGAGCGTTCCCTTGGGACGTCCCGCGGTGCGTGCCCATGGCATGTCCCCTGGCACGTCGCGTGGCGCGTCCCTTGGGACGTTCCGCGGCGCGTCCTTCTGGCATGTCCCCTCAGTCGATTAGTTCTTTGGCAGCCAGCATCTGCTCAGGCAGCGCGAGCTTAAGATGCAGATCAGTTCGGTCAGGACTCGGATGCCAGGGAGGACTCGATCCACGAGGCTATATAGAGCACGATCGCGGCATGGCACATCGCAGTTCAGCACGGCGTAGCACAGCACAGCCCTCGGCACATAACATCAAGATCGATACACTCAGCATTGTATTTGCCCGTCGCCCAATCAGGTGTCTTTGAAACGTTGCCATGCCTTACATTTCTGTCCCTTTCCGGGTTCGTGGGTCGATCATTTCAATCCGGAAGCGTTCGGCCCTTCGCAGCCAGCCCGGGAACAGCGAGGTCCTTTCTGGATCCACGATGTTCCGCGCTGCGCTGGCCCTCCCAGCAGCCTTCGAAAGTGGCGGTTTCACACTTCGCAGCCCTGCGCCGCCGAGCTGCCAGACAGGACGGCAAGACAGGGAGCATGCAAACAGGCAGACCAGCCAGGCGAGCGAACAGGGGAGACAGGAGAAGGGAGGAGGGCGGGACGGGGGCGAAGGAGAAACAGGTGTAGACCCAATCGCCCTATTCAAAGCGAGGATCCAGCCACGGCTTGGTGGGGGAAAGCCCCGAATGCGCCCAAGAGGTCCAATGAACAGACCGAGAGACCTCTAAGAGGCTCGCAGGAAGCCCTCCGTAATTTACAATGTAGGCTCAACTGTTTCAGGAAGCCCTCCGTAATTACAACGTCCAGCGACATTCGTATTCAAAGTGTTTCAAAGCAGCGATGAACTCATTAATCGTGGCTCTTTTACCGATTGGTGTACTTGGATCATGCCCCTTCATGGACATTGGCACTCCTCCAAGTTTGAAGGCAGAAGTCATTTCTGACAGTGACTTCAAGACAGCCCTAGAAGGGCTAGACATTGAGGCACTTGAGCAGGACCTCAGAGTCCTCATGACAGACAGCCAGACTTGCTGGCCAGCCGATGATGGCCATTACGGTGGTTTTATGATTCGCCTAGCGTGGCATTGCGCTGGCACCTTTCGCACATCTGATCAGAAAGGGGGCTGCGGAGGTGCCAGAATCCGCTTCCCACCAGAGTCAGATTGGGAGGGCAATGGTAACCTGGATAAGGCCCGTGCCCTTCTCGTTCCTATCTAGTGGCCTTCGGCCCATCCGCCGCCGTGCCTTGGTGAGGGGTCAGAAGCCTCATGGATGTTCGTTGGGATCTTGTGGTTGGCGTCTTGAGGGCCTCTGGGAGGCAGTTTCGAAGCCTCTTGGGGCCTCTAGGGGGCCTCTTGGGGGCCTCTTGGGGCCTCTTGGGGGCCTGTTGGGGGCCTCTTGGGGCCTCTTGGGGGCCTCTTGGGGGCCTCTTGGGAGCTTCTTAGGGAGCCCTCGGGGCATCTTGGGGGCCTCTTGGGGCGGAGGGCTCAAATGTTCGCGCTCGGGGGCCGCGATCTTCGTGAGGGGTGCCAAACAAGTTGCCCTCCCAAAGTCACGCGAGAAGCCCGGGGCCGACGCGGCGAGCCCCACAAGATTTCGTAAATTTGGCTCTGGTCCCCTTAAATGCTCAGGACTGAGGACTGGGATTCAGGCAACGAGGCTCTGGGGAGGAGGCGAAGGACCTGAGGGCGCGCCCACTCCGTGCCTCAGGGCACGGTGACGGATCAAGCAAAAATATGGCGATGCTCTCAGTTGGGGCGACCTCATCAGTTTTGCTGGTACCGTTGCAATCCGGGACATGGGGGGCCCAACAAATCCGCACTGTTTTGGACGAGTCGATGATGCAGATGGTAACAAGAGTGACATTTTTGGCGTCGCAGATAGCTGGCAAGATACGGACTGCGTTGTGCAAGGAAATTGCCAGGAGCCCATGGGTGCGGTGAAGGTTGGTTTGATCTATGTGAACCCTGAGGGGCCTTTGAACGACCCGAACGATCTGAACAGTGGGCAAAACCCAGATCCAGAGAAGAGTGCCGTCGAGATTCGGGAGGTGTTCGGCCGCATGGGGATGAACGATTCTGAGACAGCTTCGCTGATAGCAGGTGGTCATGCTTTCGGCAAGTGTCATGGTGCCGGCGTTATGACGAGTGGTTTCGAGGGGCCGTGGACGACAACTCCTTCTCAATGGACCAACCAATTCTTGACTGGAATGCTTGATGAGGAGTGGGAGCAAGTCGCAACTCCATCTGGGTCGGCGGTGCAGTGGCAGACGAAGGACAGGACCAGCATCTTGGCTGGAACCATGCGTCTGACAGCAGACTTGGCTCTTGTGAGCGATGATGCGTACATGGCGTTAGCGAAACATTGGGTGTGTGACCAGCAGAAACTTGACATAGCGTTTGCCGCGTCTTGGAAGAAGCTCGTGGAGTCTGGCGGTGGATGGTTGCCCGTGGAAGACAGGAGGTGTGAGCCTGAGTCCAAGGCGACGGGGCAGCAAACAGACCCCCAAAAGAATTTCCATTCGGTGTGCGCCACGACGACCACTGATGATTCACGAGAAGCCAGCGCTGCCACTAAATTCAGTTTGTCGTTTTTGGCGGTGGTTTTCACCCCGTTCAGCCTTGGCGTGCACTCCTGGCTTGCGTAGACTTTCGCGCTTGTATAGTGCATGGGTTCGCGCATGTGCGGGTTTTCACGATAACTTTAGTAATGGCGAGCTCCGTGGCACAGGCTGCGGCCGCCACGGCCGAAAAGGCGTCCGTTAATTTGAGCTAGGTCCTGGTGATGTTTGTGGCCTCAATGGCCGAGGGGGGGTGTAAGAGACTACACCCCCCAGTCACACAGGACGGTCCCTGCCGCTTGGCCCCCAAAAAAGAGCGCCGCTTCCTACCTCGAATCCTCCTGGGGGTTTTGCAAGGAGGGGAAAGGAAGATGAGGACGCGGACCGGAGAAGGAAGAGGAGGCGAACGGCGAGGTGGAGGTTGGAGGAGGAGGATCGGAAGAGGATCGGAGGAGGGGGGGGGGAGGAGGAGGAGGAGTGCAGAGGAATGCCGAGGAGTGCCAAAGAAATGCCGAGGAGTGGCCATGGGGGACCGAGGAGTGCCGAGGAATGCCTCGGGTTCCGAGGAGAGTGCCGACAGGGAAGAAGAACGAGGCGGATGAGGGGCGGAGGGAGAGGAGGAGGGGGAGGAGGAGGAGAGGATGAGAGGAGGAGGAGGAGGAGGAGGAGGAGGAGGAGGGAGGGAGGGAGGGAGGGAGGGAGGGAGGGAGGAGGGGAGGGTGAAGGGGAGGGAGGGGAGGGAGGGAGGGAAGGAGGGATGGAGGGAGGGAGGAGGGATGGGAGGGAGGGAGGGAGGGAGTGAGGGACGGAGGGTAGGGGGGAGGGAGGGAGGGAGGGAGGAGGAGGAGGAGGATGGAGAGGAGGAGGAGGAGGAGGAGGAGGAAGGGGGGGAGGAGGCGGAGGAGGAGGAGGAGGAGGGGCAGGAGGAGCAGGAGGAGGAGGAGGAGGAGGAGCAGGAGGAGCAGGAGGAGAGGGAGGAATGCCTAGGAGCGAGAAGCGCCGAGGATTGCCGAGGAGCGCCGAGGAATACCGAGCATTGCGGAGCGAGGAATACCGAGGAGTGCGGAGGAGTGCCGAGGAGTGCCGAGAGGGGAAGGAGAAGAGGAAGAGGAGGGGGGAAGGAGAAGAGGAAGGGGAGGAGGAGAAGGAGGAGGGAGGAGGAGCAGGAGGAGCAGGAGGAGGAGGAGCAGGAGGAGCAGGAGGTGCAGGAGGAGAGGGAGTGCCGAAGAGTGCCGAGGAGCGCCGATGAAGGAGGAAGGGGTGGGGAGGGGGCTCCGTATCCATTTTGGCTCAGGTAATCCATTTCCGAAGGCGGCTTACAGAGAGCCCATTGCATTCGTGCACACACGATCCCTGTTTGAGCCTGCCCGAGGCCTTTCAGGGTCCTTGCGTTTTCCCATGGATCCAAGGTTTGCCAGGGATCCAGTCCGGAGAACCAGGCTGGAGAGGTCCAATTCGGAAATCGAATTCGGAAGTCGGAAATCTGAATTCGGATATCCGGGTTCCGGGTTCCGGGTTCCAGGTTCCGGACTGGACCCCCGAGTTCGGATATCCGGATTCCAGGTTCCGGGTTTCGGTTTCAGGTTCCAGATTGGACCTCCGAATTCGGATATCCGGATTCGGGGTTCCGGGTTCCGAGTTCGAGGTTTCGGAATTGGACCTCCGAATTCGGATATCCGGTTTCCGGGCTTCCGGGTTCCAGGTTCCGGATGGGACCTCCGAATTCGGATAGTTATCCGGATTCGGGGTTCCGGGTTCCAGGTTCCGGATTGGACCTCCGAGTTCGGATATCTTGATTCTGGGTTCCGGCCGGATTCCAGGTTCCGGATTGGACCTCTGAGTTCGGATGTGCGGATTCGTGGTTTTGGGTTCCGGATTCCAGGTTTTGGGTCGGGCCTCCGAATTCGGATATCCGGATTCGGGGTTCTGGGTTCCGAGTTCGAGGTTTCGGAATTGGACCTCCGAATTCGGATATCCGGTTTCCGGGCTCTGGGTTCCAGGTTCCATATTGGACCTCCCAATTCGGATATGCGGATTCGTGGTTCCGGGTTCCGGATTCCAGGTTTTGGGTTGGGCTTCCGAATTCGGATATCCGGACTCTGGGTCCGGGTTCTGGGTTCCAGGTTTTGGGTTAGTCCTCCGAATTCGGATATGCGTATTCGGGGTTCCGGGTTTTGGGTTCCAGGTTCTGGATTGGACCTCCGGATTCGGATATCCGGATTCCGGTTTCGGGGTTTTGGGTTCGAGGTTCCGGATTGGACCTCCGAGTTCGTGTCCCAGGTTCCGGGTTCCGGGTCCAGGTTTCGGATTGGACCCCCGAGTTCGGATATGCGGATTCGTGGTTTCGGGTTCCAGGTTCCAGGTTCTCAAACATGGAGGCATCTTCGAAAAATGAGTTGTTCGCAACATCTTCTCAGCTTTGGGTGCCAAGGACAAATCAAGAGGACCCCAACACGGCTCAAGATGCACCGAAGTTTGCCCAATACGTGTTCAAAGCAGCTGTCTAAGACGGCTCAGTATAGCTCTTCCTTTTTCCCGGAAAGGACTCGGGCCCAGGGTTCTCTTTTAGTTGGTTTATTCCCCACCGGAAGAGGGCCGGCAGATTTCCGCTCGATAAAGAAACGAGGTAAAGTCCAATTCGGCGTGAAAAAATACGTTTCGCGCGTGGATCACGCTCTCTCCATCATTCGCAGGCGACTGTTCGCCCCCAGTCCCCGAGTTGCCCCCCGAAAAATCAGGTCGCCAAGACAAAAGGGGGCAGTCGGGGATGCACCCCTAAGGGGGCTATTCGAACGCACCCCTATCGAGGATGGACGCCCCGTGTCGTGTATCCCCGAGTGAGGCCCCGCATTTCAGGTCCACTCGAAGCGGGGCGCTGTCTCTTCAAAACGAGGACCCAACACCACAGGATGGTTGGGAAAAACATCAGACATCTGGATGTTTTCATTCTGCGGGCCCAGGATCCCCGACGCATGCATCAATGGGGTATTTTTTCTAGCGTAGCCCGAAGGTGCTTCTCGCGAGGTAAGCTCCGACTGACTGACAGGCAGGCAGTCTGACTGACTGACTGACTGACTGACCAACTGACTGGTCGCACCCGCCACACGGCCGTTGTATTCTCGGCCTCCGAAGGCGCGACCGATGGCGCAACCAAGAGGAGGCGGTATTCTCTGCCGCCGAGGGCGCAACCTATGGCGCAACCATAGCGGGCGGTCTTATTTTCAGCCGCCGCCGAGGGCACAACCCATGGCGCAACCTCTAGGAGACGGTTTTATTCTCGGCCGCCGAGGGCGCAATCTATGGCGCAACCAATCGGAGACGGAATTATCTCGTACACCGAGGGCGCAACCATTGGCGCAACCAATAGGAGACGGAAACATTCTCGGCCGCCGAGGGCGCAAACTATGGCGCAACCACAAAACGACGGGATCATTCTCGGCCGCCGAGGGCGCAACCGGGCGAAAACAATAAGGGACGGGCTCATATTCTCGACCGCCGGGGCGCAGCCCTTGGCGCAACCAACAGCAGACGGTTGAAGTCTCGGTCGCCGAGGGCGCCGCCTATGGCGCAGCAGATGGACGGCGGTTCTATTCTCGGCCGCCGAGGGTCCAACTTGTGGCGCAATCGATAAGCGACGGCTTTACTTTTTCGGCCGCCGAGGGCGCAACCCATGGCGCAACCAATTGAATACAGTTTTACCTTCGGCCGCCGAGGGCGCAGCCTATGGCGCAGCCAACAGGAAAAGGTTGTCCTCTTGCACAGGGTGGCCGGAACCCCGACTGCTGCATTTCGCGTCGCGTCACCCGTCTCTTCTGTACTGTTCTGGCTGTGTTTTGGCCCATCAGGTTACCCAGAATCGGAGCTTCAAGCACGCATCGTTGTGCTTCGGCCTTCGCATCCTCCCACGTCTATTTACCCCGTGTGAGACCCAGAAGTGCTGCCATCTCTGCCCTGCCGCTCGCTCTGCGCCTCCACAGCGAAGAGCTCGAGGCCATGCGGCCAGAGTTCCAAAGACAATGGGCAGGCAGTGACGTCTCGAGCCAGAGGCAACGGCGACTGGCCCGCGTATCCGAGGGGGGCACGACGGGACAACCAGAGTTGAGCCGTTTCTTGCCCCAGCTGGGCCCAACCCCTCCACGCGCATTGGTCTTAGGCTGCGCTGTGCTGCGTCAGAATGATTCACAGGATCCACCCGACACACCTTTACAGGACCCTCTCAGGACCATGTCGATACCCTTTCAGAAGCCCTTCAGGATCCTATTAGGACGGTTTCAAAAGCCAGGGAGGAGAAGGACGAGGATGATTAGCAAGTGGACGAGCGACGGAGTAATGAGGAGGTGTGCTGAGCAGGAGGAGGAGGAAGAGGAGGAGGAGGAGAAGGAGGAGGAGGTGGAGAGGAGGAGAGGAGGAGGAGGAGGAGGAGGAGGAGGAGGAGGAGGAGGAAGAGGAAGAGGCGCAGGAGGAAGGAGCAGAGCGACAAGGATCATGACGAATGAGGGGGGGAGGAGGAGGCAGAGGATGACAAGTGAGGAGGGCGAGTGGGGAAAAGGAGGCGGAGGAGGAGGAGGACGAGGAAATGGAGGAGGAGGGGAAGGAAAAGGAGGAGCAGGAAGAGGAGGAGGAGGAGAAGGAGGAGGAGGAGGAGGAGGAAGGAGGAGGAGGAGGATGATGGTGGATGAGGAGGAGGAGCTGGAGGAGGAGGAGGAGGAGGAGGAGGAGGAGGAGGAGGAGGAGGAGGAGGAGGAGGAGGAGTGGCGAGGACGACCTGTACTTGATTTGAACGTCCTCGCAGATCAAGGTCGATGTCCTCCAAGTTGGCCCAAAAGCGCCCCGAAAGCTCCCTGGAGCGCCCCAAGAGGGCCCCAAGAGGCGCCCAGGCGGCCCCGAGAGGCGCCCAAGAGGCCTCCGAGAGGCTACCAAGAGACCCTCAAAAAACCTCAAGAAGATCCCCGAGGCGCCCAAGACGCTCACAGACTGCCCTGGGCCCGCCAAATCGCCCCCAAGACGCTCCAAGAGGCCTCCACTGGGGTCATATGTGTGCTGCCCACTTCCCTGATAGAGGCTACTCCTCTGGGCATCGTTTCTAGATGGGCTGGTGGGGTTACGCGAAGCGTTTAGAAGTCCAAACAGTTGTCCCCGCACTTCCTCCTCGTTCGAAGTGTCCCTCTTCAAGCTCCCTCTTCCCCTCCAAGCTTTATCTGAAATACTCTGTCATTCCTATGACGCTTCCTGCAAATCTCATCCTCGTCCTTGCCCACTTTGACCTCCTTCAAAGCCTCCTTCCAACCCTCCTGGCTCTAACCTTGAACCCTGGCGTCAAATCATCAATGTGTCAATACTATTACTCGGCCCTCGTGCTCTCGTCATGCTTCCGCCCATGCCTCCTCCTATCCCTCCTTGTCCTCCTCCCCTTCTTGTCCTTCTCCCCCTCCCCCTCCTCCTCCTCCTCCTCATCCTTCTCCTCCTCCTAATCCCTCCCTTCTCGATCCTCCTCGTGGTTGCGTGTGCCTTGCTCCGTTTAGCTCTCCGAGTAACATTTCCCCTCCTCGTCCTGCTCCACCTGATAGCGCTCTGTCTCCTCCTCCTCATCAGTCTTCCCTTCTCCTCGCTTGCTTTTCCTCGCCGTCTTCCACGGCGCCCCTTTTTCCCCAGGTCCTGCTTCTGCTCCAGCTCCCTTACCCTCGCCGCCTTGTTGAGCCCCAAACCGGGAATGTCGAACACGCTCTGTTCGATTTGGTTACGATTTGGTTACGGTTTATGTTTGTTGTTAACGATTCGGTTTCAAAAACTGAAAATATGTTCACGATTTCAGAGATCATCCCGGGAATATTTTGGTTACGAAGGTGTTCAATGCATGTTGATAGCTCAAGTGTGTGAGGGGTCGATCGTAACCATATTTCCCGGAAAGGGCGCTGGCCCAGGGTCTCTTTTAGTTTGGTAAGCCTGTCCCCGGTGCCTCAACTGAGGGGCGCTGGCGGATTTTTTCCTTGATAAATATCGAGGTCAAGGCGGGCCGGCGGATTAAAATTTGAGGATGTCGCGAGCGAAATGCTTGTTTTTCATAATTTGTTGAGGATGTCTCGAGCGAAACGCTGGTTTTCCAAATTTGGGGTGTCTCGAGCGAAACGCTTGTTTTCAGAATTTGTTGAGGATGTCTCGAGCGAAACGTTGGTTTTGCAGAGACGACCGCGACGCGGAAAAGCGCCCCGCGCGCAGGAATTCCGAGGATGTCTCGCGCGTGCCGCGTCCCGCGCGCAGGAATTCCGAGGATGTCTCGACTAATTCGCTTGTTTTTTTAGATTTTCTTTGAATTTTGGCAGGATTTCTCGAGCGAAATGCACGACCCCACCCTAGCACTCTAGAATTTCCTTGAATTTTGGCAGGATGTCTCGAGCGAAATGCACGACCCCACCCTAGCACGACCCCACCCCAGCACGACCACACCACAGCACGACCACACCCCAGCACGACCCCACCCCAGCACGACCCCACCCCAGCACGACCACACCCCAGCACGACCACACCCCAGCACGACCACACCCCAGCACGACCCCACCCCAGCAAGACCACACCCCAGCACGACCACGCAGCACGACCACACCCCAGCACGACCACACCCCAGCACGCACGCACGACCACCCCAGCACGACCACGCCCCAGCACGACCACCCCAGCACGACCACGCCCCAGCACGACCACGCCCCAGCACGACCACCCCCAGCACGACCACACCCCAGCACGACCACACCCCAGCACGACCACACCCCAGCACGACCACACCCCAGCACGACCACACCCAGTCGCACCCCCGTGGAATGTTTCGTGGGGTGTCTGGTTGAGTGGTTGCCTGTTCGTGGGGAGTCTCGTGGAATGTTTCGCGGGGTGTCTCGTAGAATGTTTCGTGAGGTGTCTCGTGGAATGTTTCGTGAGGTGTCTCGTGGGATGTTTCGCGGGGTGCCTCGTGGGATGTTTCGTGAGGTGATGCCCAGTTCGTGAAAACGTGACCATGCTGCACATGTCTATATCCCTTTCCGGGTTCGTGGGTCCATCATGTTTTCGCTTTTTGGTTACGTATAGTAGGGTCGGGACTTCCGGGGACGCCGTCTTGAAAAAATCAGAAAGAGCGTGTTCTACCGTTGCTGGCGGAAAACCGGGGGGGGTCACTACCCGTTCACCCCCCCCCCTTCCGGAAAACCATGGGGGGTCATTACCGGTTCGAACCCCTCCCCCCCCCAGTCCATCATGAAAAGGGGGGAGGTATACCGGATCGAACCCCCTCCCGCCCGCCGGTTTCCGGCTTCCGGCTTCCGGCTTCCGGCTTCCGGCTTCCGGCTCCCGCGGCTTCTGGCTTCCAGCTTCCGGCTTCCGGCTTGGCTCCCGGGTCTGGAATTCGGGCTTCGGGCTTCCGGCGTCCGGCTTCCGGCTTCCCGTGTCTGGCTTCTGATTTCCGGTTTCCGGCTTCCGGCTTCCGGCTTCCAGCTTCGGGCTTCCGGCGTCCGGCTTCCGGCTTCCGGCTTCCGGATTCACGCTTGCTTCCAGCTTCCAGCTTCCAGCTTCCGGCTTCCGGCTTCCGGTTCCCGGCTTCCGGCTTCCGGCTTCTTTCCTCCCCCTGATTCCGGATCCGCCCTATTTTGGGGAAATTCGCAAGTAGGGCTTGGACTTTCCGCCTTACTTTTCAAGCCCCGCTAATGCCAATTTCCGCCCTCTTTTTCTGTTGCTGTTTCCGCCCTACTTCTGTGGATTTCCTCCCTACTTTATGTTGGGTGCAGAAATTTCCGCCCTACTTTTTCCCGGAAAGGGCGCCAGCCCAGGGTTCTATTTTAGTTGGTAAACCTGTCCCCAGTGCCTCATCTGAGGGGCGCCGGCGGATACTTTCCTGGATAAATATCGAGGTCCAGGTGGGCCGGCGGACTAGAATTTGAGGATGTCTCAGGCGAAACGCTTGTTCTTAAAATCCCGATCGATAAATCATAGGGTGCGGGCCACCTTTTCGTGTGTTGAGGATGTCTCGAGCGAAACGCTTGTTTTCAGAATTTGTTGAGGATGTCTCGAGCGAAACGCTGGTTTCGCTGAGCCGACCGCGACGCGGAAAAGCGCCCCGCGCGCAGGAATTCCGAGGATGTCTCGCGCGTGCCGTTTCCCGCGCGCAGGAATTTCGAGGATGTCTCGACTAATTAGTTTGTTTTGCCAGGATTTCTTTGAATTTTGGCAGGATGTCTCGAGCGAGATGCTTGTTTATCATAATTTATTGAGGATGTCTCGAGCGAAACGCTGGTTTTGCAACATTGGGGGATGTCTCGAGCGGGGGCCTCGTGGGGTGCCAGAATTCAGAGGATGTCTCAGGCGAAATGCTTGTTTTCACGTCCCGTTTGCAGGAATTCCGAGGATGTCTCGCGCGTGCCGCGTCCCGCGCGCATGAATTTTGAGGATGTCTAGATTAATTCGTTTGTTTAGCCAGGATTTCTTGGGATTTTGACAGGATGGCTCGAGCGAAACGCTTGTTTTTTTTTCATAATTTGTTGAGGATGTCTCGAGCGAAACGCTGGTTTTGCAACATTGGGGGATGTCTCGAGCGGGGGCCTCGTGGGGTGCCAGAATTCAGAGGATGTCTCAGGCGAAATGCTTGTTTTCACGTCCCGTTTGCAGGAATTCCGAGGATGTCTCGCGCGTGCCGCGTCCCGCGCGCATGAATTTTGAGGATGTCTAGATTAATTCGTTTGTTTAGCCAGGATTTCTTGGGATTTTGACAGGATGTCTCGAGCGAAACGCTTGTTTTTTTTTCATAATTTGTTGAGGATGTCTCGAGCGAAACGCTGGTTTTGCAACATTGGGGAATGTCTCGCTCGGGGGCCTCGTGGGGGGCCAGAATTCAAAGGATGTCTCAGGCAACATGTTTGTTTTCACGTCCCGCTCGCAGAAATTCTGAGGATGTCTCGCGCGTGCCGCGTCCCGCGCGCAGGAATTTCGAGATGTCTTGACTAGTTCGTTTGTTTTGTCAGGATTGCTTTGGGATTTTGACAGGATGTCTCGAGCGAAACGCTTTTTTTTTTTTTTTTTCATAATTTGTTGAGGATGTCTCGAGCGAAACGCTGGTTTTGCAACATTGGGGAATGTCTCGCTCGGGGGCCTCGTGGGGGGCCAGAATTCAAAGGATGTCTCAGGCAAAATGTTTGTTTTCACGTCCCGCTCGCAGGAATTCCGAGGATGTCTCGCGCGTGCCGCGACCCGCGCGCAGGAATTCTGAGGATTTGGCAGGATGTCTCGAGCGAAACGCTTGTCCCCAGCACGTTCCGTAACGCGTCCCCTTGGCACGTCCCGCGGTGCGTCCCCATGGCACGTCCCCTGGCACGTCGCCTGGCGCGTCCCTTGAGACGTTCCGCGGCACGTCCTCCTGGCATGTCCCCCTGTCAATTAGCTCTGGGGCAGCTACTGTGTGTTCAGGCAGCTCGAGCTTAAGCTCCAGATCAGTTCGGTCAGGACTCGGATGCAAAGGAGGACTCGATCCACGAGGCTATAGAGCACAATCGCGGCATGGCACATCGCAATTCAGCACGGCGCAGCACAGCACAGCCTTCGGCACAGTACATCAAGATCGATACACTCAGCATTGCAACTTGGCACGTTCCTTGGCACGTTCCGTGGGGCGTCCCTTGACGAGCCCCCGTGGCACGTCGCGTGGCGCGTCCCCTGGCACATCCCGTGGCACATCCATTGGCACGTTCCGTAGCGCGTCCCCTTGGCACGTCCCGCGGTGCGACCCCATGGCACGTCGCACGTCGGCGCACCCCTCGGCACGTTTCGCGGCGCGTCCTCCTGGCATGTTCCCCTGTCCATCAGCTCTGGGGCAGCTACTATGTGTTCAGGCAGCTCGAGCTTAAGATCCAGATCAGTTCGGTCAGGACTCGGATGCAAAGGAGGACTCGATCCACGACGCTATAGAGCACACTCGCGCCATGGCACATCGCAATTCAGCACGGTGCAGCACAGCACAGCACAGTCCCCCTGGCACGTCGCGCGGCGCGTCCCCTGGCACGTCCCGCGGCATGTCCATGGCACGTTCCGTAGAGCGTCCCCTTGGGACGTCCCGCGGTGCGTGCCCATGGCACGTCCCCTGGCACGTCGCGTGGCGCGTCCCCTGGGACGTTCCGCGGCGCGTCCTTCTGGCATGTCCCCTCAGTCGATTAGTTTTTTGGCAGCCAGCATCTGCTCAGGCAGCGCGAGCTTAAGATGCAGATCAGTTCGGTCAGGACTCGGATGCCAGGGAGGACTCGATCCACGAGGCTATATAGAGCACAATCGCGGCATGGCACATCGCAGTTCAGCACGGCGTAGCACAGCACAGCCCTCGGCACAGAACATCAAGATCGATACACTCAGCATTGCATTTGCCCGTCGCCCAATCAGGTGTCTTTGAAACGTTGCCATGCCTTACATTTCTGTTCCTTTCCGGGTTCGTGGGTCGATCATTTCAATCCGGAAGCGTTCGGCCCTTCGCAGCCAGCCCGGGAACAGCGAGGTCCTTTCTGGATCCACGATGTTCCGCGCTGCGCTGGCCCTCCCAGCAGCCTTCGAAAGTGGCGGTTTCACACTTCGCAGCCCTGCGCCGCCGAGCTGCCAGACAGGACGGCAAGACAGGGAGCATGCAAACAGGCAGACCAGCCAGGCGAGCGAACAGGGGAGACATGAGAAGGGAGGAGGGCGGGACGGGGGCGAAGGAGAAACAGGTGTAGACCCAATCGCCCTATTCAAAGCGAGGATCCAGCCACAGCTTGGTGGAGGAAAGCCCCGAATGCGCCCAAGAGGTCCAATGAACAGACCGAGAGACCTCTAAGAGGCTCGCAGGAAGCCCTCCGTAATTTACAATGTAGGCTCAACTGCTCCGTAATTACAACGTCCAGCGACATTCGTATTCAAAGTGTTTCAAAGCAGCGATGAACTCATTAATCGTGGCTCTTTTACCGATTGGTGTACTTGGATCATGCCCCTTCATGGACATTGGCACTCCTTCAAGTTTGACGGCAGAAGTCATTTCTGACAGTGACTTCAAGACAGCCCTAGAAGGGCTAGACATTGAGGCACTTGAGCAGGACCTCAGAGTCCTCATGACAGACAGCCAGACTTGCTGGCCAGCCGATGATGGCCATTACGGTGGTTTTATGATTCGCCTAGCGTGGCATTGCGCTGGCACCTTTCGCACATCTGATCAGAAAGGGGGCTGCGGAGGTGCCAGAATCCGCTTCCCACCAGAGTCAGATTGGGAGGACAATGGTAACCTTGATAAGGCCCGTGCCCTTCTCGTTCCCATCTAGTGGCCTTCGGCCCATCCGCCACCGTGCTTTGGTGAGGGGTCAGAAGCCTCATGGATGTTCGTTGGGATCTCGTGGTTGGCGTCTTGAGGGCCTCTGGGAGGCAGTTTCGAAGCCTCTTGGGGCCTCTAGGGGGCCTCTTGGGGGCCTCTTGGGGCCTCTTGGGGGCCTCTTGGGGGCCTCTTGGGGCGGAGGGCTCAAATGTTCGCGCTCGGGGGCCACGATCTTCGTGAGGGGTGCCAAACAAGTTGCCCTCCCAACGTCACGCGAGAAGCCCGGGGCCGACGCGGCGAGCCCCATAAGATTTCATAATTTTGGCTCTGGTCCCCTTAAATGCACAGGACTGAGGACTGGGATTCAGGGAACGAGGCTCTGGGGAGGAGGCGAAGGACGTGAGGGCGCGCCCACTCCGTGCCTCAGGGCACGGTGACGGATCAAGCAAAAATATGGCGATGCTCTCAGTTGGGGTGACCTCATCAGTTTTGCTGGTACCGTTGCTATCCGGGACATGGGAGGCCCAACAAATCCGCACTGTTTTGGACGAGTCGATGATGCAGATGGTAACAAGAGTGACATATTTGGCGTCACAGATAGCTGGCAAGATACGGACTGCGTTGTGCAAGGAAATTGCCAGGAGCCAATGGGTGCGGTGAAGGTTGGCTTGATCTATGTGAACCCTGAGGGGCCTTTGAACGACCCGAACGATCTGAACAGTGGGCAAAACCCAGATCCAGAGAAGAGTGCCGTCGAGATTCGGGAGGTGTTCGGCCGCATGGGGATGAACGATTCTGAGACAGCTTCCCTGATAGCAGGTGGTCATGCTTTCGGCAAGTGTCATGGTGCCGGCGTTATGACGAGTGGCTTCGAGGGGCCGTGGACGACAACTCCTTCTCAATGGACCAACCAATTCTTGACTGGAATGCTTGATGAGGAGTGGGAGCAAGTCGCAACTCCATCTGGGTCGGCGGTGCAGTGGCAGACGAAGGACAGGACCAGCATCTTGGCTGGAACCATGCGTCTGACAGCAGACTTGGCTCTTGTGAGCGATGATGCGTACCTGGCGTTAGCGAAACATTGGGTGTGTGACCAGCAGAAACTTGACATAGCGTTTGCCGCGTCTTGGAAGAAGCTCGTGGAGTCTGGCGGTGGATGGTTGCCCGTGGAAGACAGGAGATGTGAGCCTGAGTCCAAGGCGACGGGGCAGCAAACAGACCCCCAAAAGAATTTCCATTCGGTGTGCGCCACGACGACCACTGATGATTCACAAGAAGCCAGCACTGCCACTAAATTCTGTTTGTCGTTTTTGGTGGTGGTTTTCACCCCGTTCAGCCTTGGCGTGCACTCCTGGCTTGCGTAGACTGTCGCGCTTGTATAGTGCATGGGTTCGCGCATGTGCGGGTTTTCGCGATAACTTTGGTAATGGCGAGCTCCGTGGCACAGGCTGCGGGCATTTGCGGCACCGACTTTGAGTGCTGCTCGCCTCGTTTCGACGGTGAATCGTGATTCGAACAACTTCGGGCGACTGGGCCCCAGCGAGTGTCGTGAAAAGAGCGTGCTTTTTCAAGAGTCCTGATGGAGACTTCCGCCCGACCCCCTTTTGTGGTTGGCCCCTCCCCTTAGCTGCACGGCATAAATACATGTTTTCAAACAGTCTTTTATGCGCTATCTAGGGGGTCGCGGCCGTGCGTCGCCTGTAAATTACAGTCGTCAAAAAGTCTCGGGTTTTCGCTAATCGCGCCCGGCCTTTGGCGCGATTAGCAAAAACCCGAAGGTTTTTGCGCCCAAAATGCATTGTGCGAGTTTTCAAGCTAACATTCCAGAACGCTCTCTCCTCGTCATCTGGGCTCGGATTTGCGTGTTCAAAGCACTACGAGGGCCCCGGCGGTAACCTGGTTGACGGTTTACCGCCGGCTCCCAGTTCTGGCGCGCTGGGGGGCTAGTTGGCAAAACAATCTCGACGGATGTTTTGTATTTTTTTGCTCGGTTTAAATTCGATTACTCGAAATTTGAACATTCGTTAGAGCTGTAGTATTTTCCCCCCATTCGATCTTATTCCCGCTCGCCATCTTAATCTCGGGTCGATCGGGTAGCTACTACTGTCAAAAAGCATGTGGGTGGGATCGGCTGTTCGGGTCATCTTGACAGGTGCTCTCGGTTTTCTGAACTTAAACTCGAGCTGTAGGAGAGCTACAGAGCTGGCAGGCGCGCCTAAAGCATCTAGAATCATCAGGCGCGTTCGTCTCAAGTATTCAGATGTCTGAACTCGGTCTGCTACCAGAGCTGGGTCCGCGAAGCTATTCGTACTCTGCTAATTTTTTCCGAGATGATGATGAGCTTCTTGACTTAACTCGAGCTGCAGATGAGCTACAGAGCTGTTTACCACAGCAATCGGAAGACCATCATCAGGCGGCTTCGTCTCAAGTATCTAGATGTCTCAACTCGGTCTGCTACCAAAGCTGGGTCCGCGAAGCTAGTCGTACTCCGCGGCGACTTCACAGAATACCAGCACCGCTGCCTCTGGCGCGCGTGTCATGCCACCCCTGCATGTGGTACCGCTGGCATCGATGAGGCCGCTAGCGCTGCTAGCTCGCCGCCGCCGCCGCGGCCGGCCGCCAGCTCGCCGCCGCCGCCGCCAGGGCAGGCTCCTCAGATTTCCGCGCCTGCTGCTGCTGCCGCCACGCCGCTCCTGCCTGCCTCTGGCGGCTATGCTGCGCCTTCGGTAGCGACGGCCTCGGGCAGCGCGATCGCGGCGCCTCCGCCTGCAAGCCAGTCGATGGACACGACGCGACGGGGGAGACACGAGGAGCGGACGGAAGAGCGGCGGACGAGGATGCGCTCCAGAAGCCAGCCGAGACCGACCGAGGCGGATCTTTCTGCTGCCTCTTGCGCGTCTGCTGCCTCTGGCGCATCAGAATCAGGGGACGAGTCAGAGGTTGGCGCGTCAGAATCAGGGGACGAGTCAGAGGTTGGTGTCTCTGGCGACCTCGACTTTGTTGCTGGTGTCACCGACGACCCCGGTTTGGTGTCACTGACGACTCCTCTGTCTGAGCGGGCCTTGTCGCGATTGCCCGAGGCTCAGAAGGCCGAGCTACGCACGGTCTACCGATCGGACAGGCCTAAGGAGTACCATTTCGTCGACAACAGGGCGAGTTGGGAAGCGAACGCAAGAGCTCTTGTCCGAAACTGGCAAATGCCGCAGCTCCAGGACGCAAGCGGCCATGCGCTTCTGCGCCGGCTCGACCATTTCTGCGAGCCCGTCCCTACGCTGGGGCAGCTTCGCCACGGCATGCCCCACCGAAACGACAACCCAGACAACGCGGGGCAGATGTGGGACGTCGTGCGCGCGCTGGCCTCCAAGAAACAACACTACAAGAAGCGGCTCCAGCAGGCCCTGTGGCCTGACGCTGCCTCTGGCGCGCCTGTCGCTGCCGCTGGCGCGCCCTTCGCCGACGCGTGCCCGAATGCCGTGCTCGGCGACGGGTGGGCGGCGCTCACGCCAGAGGCCTTCGAGCAATCGAAGCGCGTGGCCGGCGTTCCCAGCGACGAAAGGTACGTCCACCACATCCTCGAGAAGCGCAGCGGCGAGGCGCGGCACTGGGGGGCCCTCGCATGGATCGAGGTGGACTCTGGCCACATCGAGATGCTCTTCCACGTCAATTTCTGGCATCGCCAGCTGGTCAAGACCGAGCGGGCGCGTGAGTTTTTGGTCTGGGCGAATGCGAGAAGGGAGACGGAATTCCTGCCTCTGGAGGACATCAACGCGGTCCTGCACATGGAGGATGGCGAGACCTACGTTCTCAAGCGTGTCATTCGCGACGTCACCTCTGCCTCTGGCGAGGCGTGGTACATCAGGGCGGGCAATTACATAACACTTGCGGAGCTGTTCGAATACGGGTGCCTCCTTTGCTCCTGCCACTACCTGTGCACGTTGTACCTCCGACAACCGATGTTCGTGCACAGGAAAGGGCACAGCCGGTCGCAGTCGGAGCAGGCTGTTATCAACAGGAATGCCCGGCGCTTCCAGTTTGCGGAGAGAGGGAGCTGGCGCCTGCCCAGGCGGCCAGGGTGAGAGCGTGGCACTGCTGGGTCGCTGCCTCTGGCGCGTCTTTGCGACACTTACTTACTTCTGCCCTAGCTGCCTCTGGCGCTTCCTTACTTCTGCGCGCAGCGCGTCGCTGTTGAGCACGCTCGCCTGCGCGCGGGCGAAAGAAAAATGCCGCCGACGTCATCGCCGACATCGTCCTCGTCGTCGTCATCGCCACTCGCATCATTGTGCTCTCTGTGCGTTGTGCTCTCTGTGTAATTTTCGTTTTCCTGTTTACTGTTCTCTTGGTGTTATTTGATTTCTCTTGTGGTGTTTAGCTTACTTCTTACTATGGTCGCGTTCAGTTTCCTCCTGGTCGTGTTTAGTGTTTTCCTGGTCGTGCTTAGTTTTCTCCTTGTCGTGTTTGGCTTTCCTATGGTAGTATATAGTTTTCTCTTGGGTCCTGCTTAGTTTTCTCATGGTCGTGTTTAGTAGTTCAGTCCTATAGTCGCGTTTAGTTTTGTCCTGGTCGTGTTTAGTTTTACCCTGGTCGTGTTTCGTTTTCTCCTGGTCGTGTTTCGTTTTCTCATGGTCGAGTTGGGCTTTTTCCTGGGTCGTGCTTAGTTTCCCCGTGTTCGTGTAGTGTTCCTGACAGACAATCCATGCCCAGCTCGACGTCGCCTTTTGGGGTCAAGTCACGCAAGCGCGCTGAGCTTGGCATCGCTTACCGCTGGCCTCTCGCGGCTCTTCTTCTGCTCCAGCTTTCCCTCCTCGCGCAGGCGTCCGAGCCATGGGGCGCGCGCGGACGTCTGCTGGCGGCTGCGGTTCCGCCGCCGCAGAGTGCGATGCGCGCGTCCAGGAGAATCAGCACATGGCTTTGGCGCTCGCAGAGAAGGAGCTGGAGGTCCGCAAGCCCAAGGAGGAGAAGCCGGAGTACAAACGCAAGTACGAAGATTTGACTTCGACTCTGAAGGCGCTGGCGGACGGCGTCGGGAACGTGGCGCTGCCTGCTGAGGCTGCCGTCGCTGCCTCTGGCGCGCGCGCGCAGGACAATAACGACAAGAATGATGTTTTCCAGGACAAGAACTTCCCGCTGAAGGTCCACCGCCAGGCGAGGCCAGTGGTCGCGGACAGCTCCGGGAAGATCCACGAGAAGGTCGAGGGCCCTAACGCTGGCGCCTACGCATGAAACGCGAATGGCACTATCGCAACAGGGCCAAAAGGGCGGCTCTCAGTGGACCAGGATCAGGACTTGTTCCAGCCATCGGAGACGCTGCCTCTGGCGCGCGCCGCGCTGACGACAGCCCTGGCGCAAGTTCTGCGAGGGCACAGGGCAGCGCGGGTGGGGAATCTTCAAGTGCAACCGGCGGCGCAGCGGCAGCGGCTGCGGTGGAGGAGGACCGCCGCGACGACGAGGAGACGGCCCCCGTAGAGCCACGCAGCAAGAAGATGAATAAGATGAATAGAGCCATCCAGGCTGCCTTTGGCGCTGATATCTTTTCACGCAGAAATGGCTTGCAGGCTGCCTCTGGCGCTTCCCTCGCTTGGCGCAGGGTTCTCCGGACTCGGGGCTCCGTATCAGCTAGGTGCTCTCTGCGCCGCTGGTGCAGCGTGCCGCGGGAAAAAAAGGAACGCTCATGCTCTGCCGCTGCTGCCAGCTGCTGGTACTGCTGCTGCTCCGCCTCCTCGAGCTTCCCCTGCTGCCGCTCCTGTGACACACTGCCTCTGGCGAGGATGGCGAAGAGTAGGCGACGCACTGCCTCTGGCGTGCCACAACGCTGCCTCTGGCGCGCCCCCTGCCGCGCGAGTGGTCCCTCGAGCACTCGCTTCCGAGAGGGGCCTGGTGGCATCGGCTCTGAGGGGTGAATTCTCGCATGAAGGTTGTTTCGAAGAAGGGTGTTTGCACCGTCCTTGCGTTGACAGTGCGGAGCGTTTCATTCTCATGCGCGTGTCGTGCTGGCGGTTGCTGCCTCTGGCACAATTGTGTGGCTGCATCTGGCGCCCTGTGGTCTTTGCGTAGATGGCAAGAGTGACTCTTCTTCTGAACCATCTCATGAAAAAGAAGCCACTGCTCCTCTCAACCATCGTGCGAGCTACCATTTGATGCTGACGCTGCTTCCGACCTCGCCCTCACTCTCTGCAACCTAACCGACTTCTTACCCTTGCCCGAGGATATTTCATCCTCAGGTTCGCTCCCGCCCTCATTTTCCTCACCGTCGCCCTCTGCTCCGAGGTCATCTTCGTGC